AGGTAAAAGATTTAGTTTGTTTACGAGCCAAGAGGCCCATCAGGCCGGCACTTATTTCTGGTTTCTGAGTATTTTTACTCCCCCCGGATGGAATGCCAGTCCATCGCAGGGTCAACCCCAGCATAAAATTCGCTGGTACTCATTTATACAAAGCGCATTTGATCATTGAAAATTGCGCTATATAAGTTTTGATATTATTATTACTATTATTACTATTACTATTATTATTGCTGCTCGATATGACGAAGGGAGGGAAGACTGCAAAAATATGTTCGCTATCACGAAGTTTTGTTATATCGGGGTTCTTTACCATATACAGTGGAACCTCGATATAACGAACGATATTCTTCGTCCCAGTATTGAGTAACGAAACCCGGAAAAATCAACCATAAACTCAAGAGCAATGTATTTTACATTTACTATCAAACAAATTTATTACGATTAGTTATCATGTATACAAAATCATCTGTGCATAGTTTATCTCCATTAAAAACTATTAGCTGGCCTTTCTTTCATGTTTCTGGCCTTCTTAGCTTACCCATTGTACTTTCTTTTTTTGGCAAAACAAATTTAAAAAAACCTTAGAACAATTATCTATTGTACATATGTGGTCGATCGTCAAAATTTTACAACCACATCAGAGGCCTTAGTCTTAGAATACAAAATGCTCTTCTTTATGTCCAGAAAATCAAAATATAAAACGGTGTGTGTAAAACGTCTTTACATCGCAGTTAGATAAAACTGAATTAGTGTCCCTTTTAAACGTGCAGATAAAAAGAAATTAATAACCCATGCCAGTAGGTTTTCGTTCACAGAACGTTTCCCCTCATGGTAAAAGCCGTATGAGTTAAATCCTCACAATCCATCTTTACCAAAATGTTTCTCATACAAAATTTACACAAAGAAATTGTCACCTTTGATTCCAAACAGTTTGTGCAACATGTCTGATTCTTTCTGAACTTGTTCAAACGATACGACGGGACAGAGCATGCGTAGAAACCCTCCGCTTTCAAAAGCGTGTATCCTTTGTCTCCACTTGGACCTGCACGCTCTCTCCTGTGGATTGCCCACTGTGTGTACTCGCCATTGTCACTCGATCATTTGAATCCGCACTCTGACAGTGGTCAGAAGTTATCTTCTCGCATTCACTGCTCGTTCCTCCGGCCATGTCCCCCGTAAAGTTGTTGTCGCTTGCCGTGTGTTCGTTTTTGATACATTCCGCATTTTCATACGAGTGCGCGGCTGCAGTGGGAGAGTGCTGCCTCTGTGCGTGTTCTCTGCTTATTTTCCTCCAAGCTGTCACTACGGTGTAAATTGTGAGAGTAAGCAGAATAATGATGGCGATTACGACGCAAACTATAGCTATTAGACTTTTCGTGTCCATATTAAAACCTGCAAGGAAAAAAAGAGTTGCGGTAAGAAAAACAGTCTGTGATGTGTTTACCAGTTTGATCCGGGCTGGAGCACTTTCTACACTTGGTTTTCGCCCCTGGAGAGCATTTACCTGCAGCCATCCCGTCCAGAGCTCAACCAGAGGTTTGCTTTCGCCTTTTAAAAGCTCTATTTCTTAATTTGACTTGAAATTCGCACATCGGGTGTAATTGCACAAGACATATCTCTTCCGGGTTTCCCGCAGTAATTTATTGGCTTTTACAAACTTTACGTTATACGCCAGAAGGAAGTAACCAATCTCGTTCCCGTCGAGTCTTCGTTCCTTACTGCGGTAGCTTGACGAAACGAGCGACTCTCGAGAGTTCCGTTACAGGCTAGATTTTGATCGGGTTTAAAAACAATGGAAATGAGCGGAAGTAAAACATTAGCGTCCCAATCTCGTTCCCGTTTGAGCCACGTGTTTGTCAGGTAGGCGGGTAGGCGTGCGCAATTCAACTGGAAGTTTAACATTTTCGGACTTGAAATCTGATCTTCCCAGGGTCGCTCCTTTCCCGACCGCTGGTCAAGGGGAACGAACACTCTGGCATGGGTATGAGGTTGGAAATCAACTAGAACAATTGGTCAATCGTGTTCCCAGAGTGCTCTCTGAGGACGAGGTTTTAGTACTGTAGTTATGGATCTTAGACTACAAGACTGATCACGCGTCAAGACGGCGAACTATCCGCTTTTGTGTACCTTTAACGACGACAGCCTAATAAATTTTCCGCTTCCCAAAGTTCGATCTATAACTGAAGATACGCCATCACAAAGAAACACGTCAGTGCATGTCTGACGTACTTTTTGGGCACAAGAAGACATCAAGTGTTAGCGAGAAGTGGAACATCTCAGCTGTACCTTGGTTCGTCCTCACTCAAGTTGTAAATAAGTACAGAATAGAATTTGCCTTCTTCTCCGTCAAAATTGCGAATCAATTTAGTTTTGCTCATAACACTGTTTTAAGAAAAACAGTCGATGAATCGATGACGAATCCAGAGAGAAGCATATCAGTCTGCAAGCCAGGCTACCGGTTCTGTGTCATCACGGTTCTCGAATTTCAATCCACATGATCTGCATGTGACAACAGAGCACAGTTTACAATCTTTGATAATCACGTTTTTCCTAAACCTATTCAGAACTGAAAACTCTTGTCCAAAGTGCAAAAGGAATATAAAAAAACATAGTTCGCGTTGTATGTTACCTTAGTAAATCTGAGCGAAAGAAGATTCATGGTCAATTTATCATTTAAAACCGGCTCAACGGGAGACAATAATGTCATGAAGAGATCTGGAATTTCCTGTAAGCTAATCAGCATTTTACCTTTTGTAAAAATGTTCCACCGCCCTTACTTTCTGAATTCTGGCTTCATTTACTACGACAGGTGATTGTAGTAACTGGGCAAAACCAAAACATAAGAATTATAGAGGTTGTGGAAATGTTTACATAGTGCTACATGTATGCCTCTTTACAAACAATAATAAATGTTAAAGGCCCGTTAACCTTTCCAGAAGTTTTCCACCACAGAACCTTTTTTCCTAGCTCTACGTTTTTCAGACTTTTCTGGCTTCACACTGCATAAGCCTTCTCTACCACTCAAAACGCCTTACTACTAACTGTGCACTGAAGAATCAATTATGCCTCCCGTTGTGGTCGGATCAATTCAAGTTTGCACTTTGGTTTATCAATGCAAGCATTAAGTTCTCTTCAGATCAAGAGATGTAAAGCACGTGGAATTGTGCATCTTTTTAAGATTTCAATATTAAAGATCGTCAATACGAAGACTCGTGCGTTCAAATACTGCATCAGCCATATGCTACAGACACATGCATCTCTCAAATTTAAATCCCCGTAGATTTTCGAATGACAACGTAACAATATCTATTCCCAAAACATCATACACTTCAAAAACCACTCACCTTTATGCCTTCAGCATCAACTTTTCGTTGTCATAAAACGCAACAATGTAGTTCGAGCCTTTTAAATACAGTTAAGTCTTACAATATCCTGCATAAACTCGCTAGCAGGCTGATATGCGTTGCACAATGACTACAGCGTCTCCGGAGCAACTGTGCTGACAGATCCGGTTAATAACAAACAGCGGAAATTCCGGTGTTTCCTAAATCAATGATTGCGTGACACGCCAGATCGGATTGTCACACCACACGCGCCTACTAAGATAAGACACATTGCAGGTAAGCCGTAGGCCTTTCCAGGAATATAACGTAGAATTCTCAAAAAATTCTCTAAATATCACAAAACTTTTTCTGAATATCTCGAAAAGCCCTTAAAATATATCTTATTTTTGTTTCAAAAATAGACCGATTTTGAATCACTTGGGCCAAAATTTTCAAAATTCTCTTGCAGTAGTACAAGGAGTAGAGGAGGACGATTCAGGCGATGTTCCCAGCAACCGCCATTTTGGAAAATTGCTGCTTTAGCGCTTTCAGTGATACGGAATGCATTTTTCAAGTGGGAAATCGCTGAACTGGATTGTTTCTTGCATAGAACTGAGCATTGTTTCAAGAACATAGCAAGGAAAGGCTTACGTAAGTATTTTTGGTAAGGACCAAAAATGCGACCCGCCGAACGGCGATAACAACGGAATTTTATCGAGAAGAGTGGCAAAAGATAGACATTATAATGATTCAAACTGAAATAGCTTGCGAGCAGGTTCTCTACGAGGAAAAAAATCAAAGAAGTGTTTTGAAAAGAACCTAGAAGTCATCAAATAGCTAGAGGGTGACAGACAATGTTTTCCCGCCCGTTATGATTTGTCGTCGTCCCATTTCCCCCACCCCACCCCCATCCCCCATAAAACGTATAAAGGAGTTCAGGCTTTGGGATCAGAGTTATCAGTCAAGCGACGTCTAGACATTTTCAATGAAGTTTTAATAAATTTCTCAGTCAGTGTTCCTAGTTAAAACTCTATCAATTTAATTCTTCTATTCATTTACTCCACTTCATTCTTTCGTTAGATCGATCGCTCACTCATTCATTTCTTCGCCTATTTATATATTTTTATGTCTTTTATATGTTATTCTGTTATTATTAGCCTCTTCCAGGGGCTCGCGGGTTAGTTTCGAAACGTGGCCATTCACCGCACTGCTTCCCACCTAATTTACTTAACGCGTGGAAAAAGCCATGAATTGACGTGTTTGGCACAAAATTCAGCTTTAATTAGTCTTGCAGCTAGCTAAGAGCGTTTTTCAATTGAGTGTCGTAAAACCAAAACCAAACCAATTACTTACCAATTAAACTACTTAGCCAATTTTAAACCGGCGTAAAACCAAAACCAAATTAATTGCCTAATTACTTTCGACAATCAATTAAAAACCGCTCTAAAAAAGCGCATGCGTTAATGGGAGGTACACTCTTACCCAGACTCTTTGCTGGTTGTGATCAGTCTCTGAAAACCCGTAAGCTTGAACTTGGTACCCAAAGCGCTAGATCTGATAGAGACGGGTTTTACGACAAAGCAGTTTGACCTGGTGGCTTCCTCTTTGTAATGCATAACCCGGCGTTAAAAAATTGATACTACAAGAGTCGCAATAGTTTTTCGTCTTGAAAGAGAGGATCACGTTTTCAATTTCGGTTACAGCTTCTCTTTCAATTATCATTTCACTTATTTCAAGTTATTTTGTGTCAGGCAAAGGCTCACCGTCAACGCGTTAGAATTTTCCAGTTTCCCAAGGAGAAATTAAATTTCTCAATGACCGTCAATTTATATAGCACCTATACTGATATTACTTGTTTTCTCCCCCATTGCAATTTGTCATAAAGCGGTGCATATAACTCTGTTGTGTTTGTCGTCACTCAAAAGTCCTTGACACGTTTCACAATTATTTTTTGTGTCCGTCCTACATTTCTCTTCTTCACTTTGTATTTTATCATTTCTCCTAAACGCCTCCTCTTCCAACAAGTCTTGATCGGTTGATATAACATTTATGTCAACCTCGGATTGACACAGTCTTTCTCTTGTCCTTAAAGACTCGTCAAAGCTTTTTCTTCGAACTGCATTTTCACCTAACCGCCTCCATTCAACGTATCTCTCATTTGTTAGTCTTTTATCTGTGTAGTTCAACTTTTCCCTCTCGACTTCTTGGCCAGCTTTCATTCCCTTAACACCTTGTTCCCTGCTACCAATTTCGCAACCCGCAACTTTGTAATCAGCAGCCTCACCCCCAAAATGTCTGTGCTTGCCGTTTTCGTCTCTGACGTCACTCTGCGGAATAGACATTAATAGCCTCTGCTGTGATGGAGACGTCTTTCCACTTCGCTGCCGCAACCTCTGTCTTTTCGTCTGTTTGGTGTCAGTTGCTTTTTGAGCTGAATTTTCTCTTTGTTTTTCGTCGTCATAGGATGCTTTCGGCGTCTTTGCTGATCCATTGTTTAAAGTCTTCCTGGCAAAAGCGCGAAAAATTAGAACAATGAAGTTTAAATAAGTTTTGGTGGTGACGTTGTCCTATGGGAGGGAATGTATCTCCTTTTCGGCAAATTCTTTTTGATATGGTATAGGCGTTATATGTTCGAGAAAAGACCTAAGTGGTGTACCATTTGACTTTTTATGGAGTGGGGGGTGGGGGGAAGTGGGGGAGATTTAGTACAGGTACCATTTTTTTTCCTTTTCTCTCTCATGCACAAGGATTTTTTTCTCGGGACGTGTCTATGCAAGATATTTTTTTCTCCGTATAACATGCTTTTTTTCTTTTTTCTGAGCGTGCGTGAATTTTTTCAGTCGTGTGCATAAATGTTTTTTGGTATAAATCTGTTTGCAGGACATTTTTTTTCAAAATCCGCCCACCCAGCCGCCCTCAAAAGTCAAATGGTTCGCCCCTAAAGTTGGCTTAAATCGCCCGAAGTCGCCATTTTCTTCCCTGCCAACTGTACTTAAATCGCCTTGAATCACCCCATCCAAAATCGCCTTACATCCACTTGCCCAACTGACAAGCAACGAAAAGATAGCGCGAGCAATCAAATCACTCGTGGAAAGTTGTCTTTTGATTTGCCATAATCATGAAACGAATACGACAAGTCACTTAGAAACCATTGAGGGAAAATTGACAGAGTGTTGCATCTGCCTCCTGCTCAGGCGCTTCGATTATTCCACACTTTATAATAAAAGGCGGGCGCAAAGCGCTAGCGCCCATTTTCCTCAAAGAAAGAGAGAGGCGTCTGGGAACGAGGCAGGTGTCGCATTATTCAGAAAGTGGTGTTGAATGTTGCGTTAAGCGGTCTAACTAAAAGTTGAAAATTATACTATTTGTACTGTTACCCACCCTGAACAAGCTTCGTCTTTTCCTTGTAACTTTTCGTATCCTTGCGGTACACTGGTTTCTCTAAGGTCTCCCCAACTGCGGCTGTTCTGCATGCGTCTGAGTAGCTGGTCTTGTGTCATGCGCAGGGATTCCTTCGTGGAAAGCAATTCCTTTTTCAAATGCTTTATAAGTTTCTCCATCTACGAGAGAGAAAAAATATTAATTTCAATGAAATTAGAAACACACACTCATAATCAGATAAAGAAATCCTCAAGTTTCAAGCCAAAAGTTTAGACATTCGCTAAAAAAGTTGTTTTGTACGTCGCGTAGAGCTGTTTTCAATTAACGAAAACCAAAGTAATTGTCTGATTACTTTCGACACCAAGAGATTGATCATATTCTCTTGTCGACACTCAGTTGAAAAGCGCACAGCCTTTACGTCATCATCATCATCATTAGCCCTGGCTCTCCTCTGGGAAAATAGGGCCATTCGGCCTCTATGTACAGAAAATTTAATGATTGTTCTCTCATAAAAGGCTTAGACATTTTCCCTTCAAACTCTTATAATTTTAGCTGACAAACTTCGAAGCCACGAGAAGACCACATTTCATTTTCCTGACCTTTCGCTTCAGAGTTTCACAGCGACGTATCCTAAGGAACCTACGCCTCAATATGCGTTTGTACTCACCAAATCTTTATGTTAATTCGCTTCAAAATTCTCTGAACTTAGAACTTCCTTCGCGAACTTCGCGAACTAACATACTGAACTAACAGAAAACTGAAAGTGAAGAATGATCATCGCAGTTAATTTTCCAATTTAAGCAATTGGAAAGAAGAAGCCTGAAAAAAAATCAGGGCTTCAACGGAAACGAAAACTGTAAATCCAAAATATTTGTTCAAAGCAATGTCGCGTGCACGCGAAACTTATTCCATTTGTCTCATTCTGTTCGAGTGATGTTCATTTGAACTTGCTCAATTATTTGAATTCACGTGCTAACACGCTCTTAACATTTCCGTCAGCACGCACACAAAAGACACGTTAGTGTTGAATTTTTGCCAAAAGCCTCCGTGCAGTTTAACTGAGCTAGCTGAGGGCAAACTCTCGTTTTCGATAGAGTTTTCGTTACCGAAGCTTCTGATTACAACTGAACGATATGACTGTACCTCCTGCTTTTTGATGAGATGGCCATTTCCCTCCAGGCACACGGATGCAGGCGCGCTAGAATCAGAAAACGTAGGTTGGTTTGCTACTGCGTCCTCGGCACTGAAACAAACAAATAGGACTGTAACCATGTATAACAGTTCAACAAGGAAATGGACGATGGTTCTATCTTTGTTTGTTACTAATTTACTAAATAATCAAGTCAAGTATACCAGATATCACATGTAGGCAAAGCAATTTGCTCTTTCTTTGCAAGAAGTTAAATGTATTTTTCATTTTACCTTTATCTATAACTATCTGTTTTCGATGTCTAGCTTTTTTGATGACTTTTTCCTTTCCGTAAGAAACACTTATGTAGGTGTTTTAAATTATCTCCTGACAAGCAGGTAAGGAGTACGGGCTTTTCTCATGAGTATAGGAGTTTCGCGCCTCCCCATCGACAAATTTCCACTAGTATGCTATGTAACTTTTTAAGTATTACAGAAAGGATGACGTCATTTTCTAATTACCTACTGCCGGGGACCTCTTCTCCCTCGTTGCCAGCATTGTCGTTCACTCCAACGTACGCATGCGCAGACTTCTGGCCCTTCTCTTTACTCAGACTGGACAGACTCAAGCTTGGGTTAACATGCCTGCGGACATTTCTGTGTGGCCGGAAAAGAATGATGTACACCTTGGGTCCGTAAAGGCAGCCCAGCAGAACAAACGCTATCAAAGAAACGCTTACGCACAAAATCAGAGGTTTTTGATTGTAATCTTCTTCCATGTAATACACGGCCAAGAATGCTAGCCACACTATGCACGATGCGTACATGGCGAAGGCGATGTACTTCGCCTCGTTGAAATTGCTAGGGATTTTCCGTGTTTTGAACGCGTAAACAGTGCACATGGAAATCAGAAGGAAGTTGTACACTTGGGAGAGTCCGAAGTCCAAATTTGAAGTGGAACAGTCGAGATACACCGTGGAGATTTCCGGGTAATAAAGTTTCGCTCGAGGCGTGCGTAAGAGAACAAGCATTAACAGGAGTAGAATTTGTACCGAGACCACACCTACCACAAGGATAAGCTGCGAAAATGGTAAGATTAAAATAGNAAAAATAGACCGATTTTGAATCACTTGGGCCAAAATTTTCAAAATTCTCTTGCAGTAGTACAAGGAGTAGAGGAGGACGATTCAGGCGATGTTCCCAGCAACCGCCATTTTGGAAAATTGCTGCTTTAGCGCTTTCAGTGATACGGAATGCATTTTTCAAGTGGGAAATCGCTGAACTGGATTGTTTCTTGCATAGAACTGAGCATTGTTTCAAGAACATAGCAAGGAAAGGCTTACGTAAGTATTTTTGGTAAGGACCAAAAATGCGACCCGCCGAACGGCGATAACAACGGAATTTTATCGAGAAGAGTGGCAAAAGATAGACATTATAATGATTCAAACTGAAATAGCTTGCGAGCAGGTTCTCTACGAGGAAAAAAATCAAAGAAGTGTTTTGAAAAGAACCTAGAAGTCATCAAATAGCTAGAGGGTGACAGACAATGTTTTCCCGCCCGTTATGATTTGTCGTCGTCCCATTTCCCCCACCCCACCCCCATCCCCCATAAAACGTATAAAGGAGTTCAGGCTTTGGGATCAGAGTTATCAGTCAAGCGACGTCTAGACATTTTCAATGAAGTTTTAATAAATTTCTCAGTCAGTGTTCCTAGTTAAAACTCTATCAATTTAATTCTTCTATTCATTTACTCCACTTCATTCTTTCGTTAGATCGATCGCTCACTCATTCATTTCTTCGCCTATTTATATATTTTTATGTCTTTTATATGTTATTCTGTTATTATTAGCCTCTTCCAGGGGCTCGCGGGTTAGTTTCGAAACGTGGCCATTCACCGCACTGCTTCCCACCTAATTTACTTAACGCGTGGAAAAAGCCATGAATTGACGTGTTTGGCACAAAATTCAGCTTTAATTAGTCTTGCAGCTAGCTAAGAGCGTTTTTCAATTGAGTGTCGTAAAACCAAAACCAAACCAATTACTTACCAATTAAACTACTTAGCCAATTTTAAACCGGCGTAAAACCAAAACCAAATTAATTGCCTAATTACTTTCGACAATCAATTAAAAACCGCTCTAAAAAAGCGCATGCGTTAATGGGAGGTACACTCTTACCCAGACTCTTTGCTGGTTGTGATCAGTCTCTGAAAACCCGTAAGCTTGAACTTGGTACCCAAAGCGCTAGATCTGATAGAGACGGGTTTTACGACAAAGCAGTTTGACCTGGTGGCTTCCTCTTTGTAATGCATAACCCGGCGTTAAAAAATTGATACTACAAGAGTCGCAATAGTTTTTCGTCTTGAAAGAGAGGATCACGTTTTCAATTTCGGTTACAGCTTCTCTTTCAATTATCATTTCACTTATTTCAAGTTATTTTGTGTCAGGCAAAGGCTCACCGTCAACGCGTTAGAATTTTCCAGTTTCCCAAGGAGAAATTAAATTTCTCAATGACCGTCAATTTATATAGCACCTATACTGATATTACTTGTTTTCTCCCCCATTGCAATTTGTCATAAAGCGGTGCATATAACTCTGTTGTGTTTGTCGTCACTCAAAAGTCCTTGACACGTTTCACAATTATTTTTTGTGTCCGTCCTAAATTTCTCTTCTTCACTTTGTATTTTATCATTTCTCCTAAACGCCTCCTCTTCCAACAAGTCTTGATCGGTTGATATAACATTTATGTCAACCTCGGATTGACACAGTCTTTCTCTTGTCCTTAAAGACTCGTCAAAGCTTTTTCTTCGAACTGCATTTTCACCTAACCGCCTCCATTCAACGTATCTCTCATTTGTTAGTCTTTTATCTGTGTAGTTCAACTTTTCCCTCTCGACTTCTTGGCCAGCTTTCATTCCCTTAACACCTTGTTCCCTGCTACCAATTTCGCAACCCGCAACTTTGTAATCAGCAGCCTCACCCCCAAAATGTCTGTGCTTGCCGTTTTCGTCTCTGACGTCACTCTGCGGAATAGACATTAATAGCCTCTGCTGTGATGGAGACGTCTTTCCACTTCGCTGCCGCAACCTCTGTCTTTTCGTCTGTTTGGTGTCAGTTGCTTTTTGAGCTGAATTTTCTCTTTGTTTTTCGTCGTCATAGGATGCTTTCGGCGTCTTTGCTGATCCATTGTTTAAAGTCTTCCTGGCAAAAGCGCGAAAAATTAGAACAATGAAGTTTAAATAAGTTTTGGTGGTGACGTTGTCCTATGGGAGGGAATGTATCTCCTTTTCGGCAAATTCTTTTTGATATGGTATAGGCGCTATATGTTCGAGAAAAGACCTAAGTGGTGTACCATTTGACTTTTTATGGAGTGGGGGGTGGGGGGAAGTGGGGGAGATTTAGTACAGGTACCATTTTTTTTCCTTTTCTCTCTCATGCACAAGGATTTTTTTCTCGGGACGTGTCTATGCAAGATATTTTTTTCTCCGTATAACATGCTTTTTTTCTTTTTTCTGAGCGTGCGTGAATTTTTTCAGTCGTGTGCATAAATGTTTTTTGGTATAAATCTGTTTGCAGGACATTTTTTTTCAAAATCCGCCCACCCAGCCGCCCTCAAAAGTCAAATGGTTCGCCCCTAAAGTTGGCTTAAATCGCCCGAAGTCGCCATTTTCTTCCCTGCCAACTGTACTTAAATCGCCTTGAATCACCCCATCCAAAATCGCCTTACATCCACTTGCCCAACTGACAAGCAACGAAAAGATAGCGCGAGCAGTCAAATCACTCGTGGAAAGTTGTCTTTTGATTTGCCATAATCATGAAACGAATACGACAAGTCACTTAGAAACCATTGAGGGAAAATTGACAGAGTGTTGCATCTGCCTCCTGCTCAGGCGCTTCGATTATTCCACACTTTATAATAAAAGGCGGGCGCAAAGCGCTAGCGCCCATTTTCCTCAAAGAAAGAGAGAGGCGTCTGGGAACGAGGCAGGTGTCGCATTATTCAGAAAGTGGTGTTGAATGTTGCGTTAAGCGGTCTAACTAAAAGTTGAAAATTATACTATTTGTACTGTTACCCACCCTGAACAAGCTTCGTCTTTTCCTTGTAACTTTTCGTATCCTTGCGGTACACTGGTTTCTCTAAGGTCTCCCCAACTGCGGCTGTTCTGCATGCGTCTGAGTAGCTGGTCTTGTGTCATGCGCAGGGATTCCTTCGTGGAAAGCAATTCCTTTTTCAAATGCTTTATAAGTTTCTCCATCTACGAGAGAGAAAAAATATTAATTTCAATGAAATTAGAAACACACACTCATAATCAGATAAAGAAATCCTCAAGTTTCAAGCCAAAAGTTTAGACATTCGCTAAAAAAGTTGTTTTGTACGTCGCGTAGAGCTGTTTTCAATTAACGAAAACCAAAGTAATTGTCTGATTACTTTCGACACCAAGAGATTGATCATATTCTCTTGTCGACACTCAGTTGAAAAGCGCACAGCCTTTACGTCATCATCATCATCATTAGCCCTGGCTCTCCTCTGGGAAAATAGGGCCATTCGGCCTCTATGTACAGAAAATTTAATGATTGTTCTCTCATAAAAGGCTTAGACATTTTCCCTTCAAACTCTTATAATTTTAGCTGACAAACTTCGAAGCCACGAGAAGACCACATTTCATTTTCCTGACCTTTCGCTTCAGAGTTTCACAGCGACGTATCCTAAGGAACCTACGCCTCAATATGCGTTTGTACTCACCAAATCTTTATGTTAATTCGCTTCAAAATTCTCTGAACTTAGAACTTCCTTCGCGAACTTCGCGAACTAACATACTGAACTAACAGAAAACTGAAAGTGAAGAATGATCATCGCAGTTAATTTTCCAATTTAAGCAATTGGAAAGAAGAAGCCTGAAAAAAAATCAGGGCTTCAACGGAAACGAAAACTGTAAATCCAAAATATTTGTTCAAAGCAATGTCGCGTGCACGCGAAACTTATTCCATTTGTCTCATTCTGTTCGAGTGATGTTCATTTGAACTTGCTCAATTATTTGAATTCACGTGCTAACACGCTCTTAACATTTCCGTCAGCACGCACACAAAAGACACGTTAGTGTTGAATTTTTGCCAAAAGCCTCCGTGCAGTTTAACTGAGCTAGCTGAGGGCAAACTCTCGTTTTCGATAGAGTTTTCGTTACCGAAGCTTCTGATTACAACTGAACGATATGACTGTACCTCCTGCTTTTTGATGAGATGGCCATTTCCCTCCAGGCACACGGATGCAGGCGCGCTAGAATCAGAAAACGTAGGTTGGTTTGCTACTGCGTCCTCGGCACTGAAACAAACAAATAGGACTGTAACCATGTATAACAGTTCAACAAGGAAATGGACGATGGTTCTATCTTTGTTTGTTACTAATTTACTAAATAATCAAGTCAAGTATACCAGATATCACATGTAGGCAAAGCAATTTGCTCTTTCTTTGCAAGAAGTTAAATGTATTTTTCATTTTACCTTTATCTATAACTATCTGTTTTCGATGTCTAGCTTTTTTGATGACTTTTTCCTTTCCGTAAGAAACACTTATGTAGGTGTTTTAAATTATCTCCTGACAAGCAGGTAAGGAGTACGGGCTTTTCTCATGAGTATAGGAGTTTCGCGCCTCCCCATCGACAAATTTCCACTAGTATGCTATGTAACTTTTTAAGTATTACAGAAAGGATGACGTCATTTTCTAATTACCTACTGCCGGGGACCTCTTCTCCCTCGTTGCCAGCATTGTCGTTCACTCCAACGTACGCATGCGCAGACTTCTGGCCCTTCTCTTTACTCAGACTGGACAGACTCAAGCTTGGGTTAACATGCCTGCGGACATTTCTGTGTGGCCGGAAAAGAATGATGTACACCTTGGGTCCGTAAAGGCAGCCCAGCAGAACAAACGCTATCAAAGAAACGCTTACGCACAAAATCAGAGGTTTTTGATTGTAATCTTCTTCCATGTAATACACGGCCAAGAATGCTAGCCACACTATGCACGATGCGTACATGGCGAAGGCGATGTACTTCGCCTCGTTGAAATTGCTAGGGATTTTCCGTGTTTTGAACGCGTAAACAGTGCACATGGAAATCAGAAGGAAGTTGTACACTTGGGAGAGTCCGAAGTCCAAATTTGAAGTGGAACAGTCGAGATACACCGTGGAGATTTCCGGGTAATAAAGTTTCGCTCGAGGCGTGCGTAAGAGAACAAGCATTAACAGGAGTAGAATTTGTACCGAGACCACACCTACCACAAGGATAAGCTGCGAAAATGGTAAGATTAAAATAGGCCTCCGAGCGAGGTTCTTCCGATTGAAAATTCTTGAGATTCTGTTCGTCTTAATGAAAAGAGACGCGTAGCATATCGTGAAGGCGACACCGTATCCAAAGAATCTCGCAATGCATGTCACATCTCGAGGCTTCAGCACAGTGACAAATGTCGTGCTAAACGCCATAAGTATGCCAATTAACAAAAGGTGAGAGAGTTCGCGACCGCAAGCCTTCACCAACGGCGTCTTGTCAAACTTGATCAACACAGAGATCACAAACACTGTGGCAATGACTCCTAGCCCAGCAAGAGAAGCAGCTGGTACAGAAAACATCCAGTTCTTTCCGAAGTACGTTAAGTCAACTTTCGTGCATGCGCGTCCGTCAGGCGTTGGTATGTATCCCAGAGGGCACTGCTCGCAGATACTGTTATTTACTATGTAGTGATTCCCGTTGCAAAGATTACAAGTCCAACAGCAAAATTCTTTTCCGACCACAGGCACTTTAACTTCTTTGCTCTTACAAACAGGTTGGCAAGATGACGACACTCCTTTGAACACTGACAATGCTCTCGGTTGAAGTTTTAATCGTTTGTCCCATTCGCCAATGTGAACCGTTTTGTAATTGTTCCCCTGTTTTGTGAACATTAATACGTCAAAACGTCCTTCAACGTCGCCATCGGCGTTGAAACGAACGTGATTTCCGCTTGCTCCAATGAAAGAAACATTCCTAATGTGTTCCAAAAGCTCTTTCCCCGAGATATTACGCATGCGTTCACAAACATTGCTCGCCGGGCACTGTTTTTTGAAGATAGCATCTAGCGCATGCGCGAACACGTACACCGCATCCATGGCGCTGGCGACACGATTATCAACCGGGCTGTTTGTAAACGTGAGGTTTAACCCACTGCATTTACCGTTTATTTCTCCACTAAGAGAGCAATTAAAATGCTGCTCCCAGAACTCACGAAACCAAGGATTACGAGCGTTTGTTTTGGGCTTCAGTTGATAAAAATGCTCGTTAAAAGCAGTCAACTCCGCGGCCTTTGGCAAGACTGTTATGGTGTTAAGTGCAACGTCTTCTAATCCTTTCAACCACAACATGTTTCCCCAGGCGTCCGTCCCAAGCCACTGAAATGTTCCCGCCGCTCCTCTGTCCTTCGCAGCTTGCAGTAGATTTCGGATTTGCCGTTCTTGGCTGCTAAAAACCACGACGCTTTTGGCGTCGGGTTCCTGAAGGAGTTTGTCGATGATTGTTGGAAACGTTCCAGCGGGGGTTGATTGTTCAATTTTCTCGGCTGCTGCAATGCATATACCTGTAAGATATAAAATGGAAGTTTTTTAAACTTAATTGTGCTGTAAATTAAAAATCCATCTCTATTTCTTTTCGTCTTTTGTTTGAGTGGTTTTTGATCGACTTTTGAAAGGTGATTAATTCGTTTGTACTTTCCAATAGTTTTGTTAGTTTTTTTCTTTATTAAGGCCTTCACAGACAAATGAATGTTTCTTACAGCCATGTAAGTGTGTGTGTCAAAAAAAGTATCGTAATGTAACTGGTGTAAGTATAGCAATGTAAACAGTGTAAATATTGTAAAATGATAAAATAAAACAAGTAGTGTAAATATTGTATTGTAAGATTGGTGTAAGTACCGTGATGTAACGTAATGTAACGTAATGTAAGTCTTCCGTGTAAGTATCTTAATGCAGGTAGTGTAAGTGTCGCGTGGTAAGTAGTGTTCTTTGTGCGGAATTTTTTTTTTTTTAAAGTATTGGAAAAAGGCAATGTATTTGAGGCAATCAGAGTCATCGTAACTCTTTTTCAACCAATAAGAAACCAAACCGAATCTAAACAAGGCGCGCGTTTTCCTGCCGTTGCCACCGGTCGGGCGTTTTCCCGCCATTGTCACAGGTCGCACGTTTTTTTCTTCGAGTTAATTCTCATTAACAAAAACCAAGAGAACATGAAGAGTAAAAAAGTTAATCAATCATACAGGACTTATTCCGAGGTAATCCCTCTCAATTAAGGTTTCTTTTAGACATGGTAATCAGATCTTCGGCCGATAATGTTACGTACCACGCGCGTTGCGTGGATGTTTTCGAGAAAAATGCGCGCAAAGCTGCTTGGGATGCCACGTGAGCAAGATTCACGTCTCAGGATTGGCTGACTCTCTTGAGATTTCCCAAACCAGGAGTGGTCTAAAAATAACTTGAGGTGGGTTACCCAAGAAAGGTTTATAGATAGATTAACTCTCTTACCCCTAATCATCATTTTTATGACAATTACAGAAATTCTCGCGCGCTCATTTGGCTAATTTTCATTGTCAATAAACGGACAGACACATGAATTTATCATTTATGCGATGCACCAACGAGCGAGGGCGGACAATTTTACAATCTATCGCCTCGTGGATCCACAGCTACTTTGACAATGTTATGACGAAATTCATGATCAGTAAGAGGGCAGACTCATGAAAAACTGACGTCAATTTGTTAATTCTAGTATAACCAAGCCCGACTATACCTGATTTCTTTGCTTCCTCCTTCACCGCTTGAAAGCCAAGCGTCCCGTAAGAATCATCACTGTGCACAACCGAGATGTATGTCCAGTTCATTAACTTGGCGATATCAACGAGCGCTTTGGCTTGATACAGATCGTGCGGAACAGTGCGTGAGAAGAACTCGAACCTGGTCTTGTCACTCAGCTCGTAACTCGTGGAGTCAAAGCTAACTTGTGGAATCTGAAACAAGCGGAACAGATGTGCAACTTGGACCGAGATGGAGCTGAAGGATGGCCCAATGACGCCCGCCATGACGGGATTTCCCGAGGGATGCTGCTCTTTAGAAGACACTCTGTCTTTCACAAAGTGCAAGGCCCGATCGAGCGCTATTGTCTCGCTGGAACAAGTATCGTAGACCTCGAGTCCAAGAGAAATATTGCGCAAAATCGAATCGTTTTTGTTTATTTTGTCGACGGCAAAGAGAATGGCCTCTAGTCGCTGGATACCAACTCTCTCGTTTAGATCTCCGCATTGAGCAAGATCCTCAGAATCATGGTCGTGAATCGGCACCAGACCTCCAATTACAATGCTCCCTTTCATCAGCAAGGAGCCATCTTGACAAGTCACGCAGTTTAAGTAAGTTACCACGGCTAAGAAAATTAAGCCAATCATTGTTCTTCTTCTTTGGGCAACCTAATGATAAAAGGAACAAGTTATTTTCAGGATTTCATCAATTCTGTTATTTTTTATTGCTATGATTTTCAAGCATCCGTAATTAATTTTGACGATCTAAAATCTAAGTTATCTGTTTAAAGTTGCGCCATCTCTGAGCTAACAGTTAAAATTTTCAGCTGTTAGTTGTTAACATGCAGACCTCCAGCTGTTACGTCTCTTCGTAGCAACCACTGGCAGGCAGAAGGGATATTCGGGTTATCTCTGCTTGTGATCGTAACTTTTTAAAGCGTTGCGAAATGCTTTGAATCAAAGAAAACGTCAACATAACAAGTTATAGAGGTAGAGAAAAACCAAAGAGTTCATAATGAACCAAAACGAAACAAGGATGGTCCATAGAGAAGATCGAACTCTGTAAATTCAGAAGAATTTAGTGACAATTCACAGGCCATTCTGGGACCCATTTAAGCCCGTGGGGCACGTCAGCCGTTGAAAGTTAAAACCCCTCAATTTGGCTTTGATTTAGACAGCCAAATTAGATCCTAGCTACAATATTTTTACTCACCCTAGAGACCTAAATTGCGGAGCAAAAGCAGATATTTTGAATTACAGTAGTAAGTAAGTAAAGTCTGCATACGAGCCAAGTGGCCCACCAGGCCGGAGCTTATCCCGGTTTCTGTAGCATGAAGCGACTAGGAGTATTTCTACTCCCCCCTGGATGGGATGCTAGTCCATCGCAGGGTTACCCCCAGACGGTACCCATTTGGACACCTGGGTGGAGAGAGGCACTGTGAGAGTAAAGTGTCTTGCCCAAGAACACAACACAATGTCCCCGGCCAGGGCTCGAACCCGGACCGCTCGATCCGGAGACGAGCGCACTAACCATGAGGCCACCGCACCTCCCACAGTACACTTGATAAATGAGTCACATCGAAGAGAGATCTACCATCCACCTACGGAAAATGAAAATCGGAAGTCTCCGGTCGACTCCGGTTTCATTTTCCAAAACAAATTAAAATTGACTGTGAATTTCCAGAATTCATTGTTCAAACGTGAAAACTTATAGTAAACCGGCAAGCTTCTTTTTCATTTTCCAATCAGAATTTCTTAAGGAATTGTGGCTGCTGATAATGTTTATCAACCGCAATCACATGTTTTTATTTTCCGTTTTTGTTATGTACTCTTCCTCCCTAACTCATGCGTTTCAGTAAGCAATTGGCTTTTGAGCCACCTCTTTAGCACATAGTGAGTAAAGAACGAATCTTGCTCATAATAAGAGAAATACTCGGATTCGGTCTCAGAGAAAACTAAGTCAATTTCTCTTAAAAAGCAGAGAAAATTGAGTGAAAAAGTAGAAAATTTGACCCTCGATCTCATAGTTAAAAGCTGTGGACTGTGGGCTGAATTAGTCTCGTCGGTAAGTTATACCTAATCATACCTTTTTGGTACGCTTCGGCGGCATATCAGGCGAGTATGGTCCAACCATGGTTTGTATTTTGGCGGGACGTAGTCGAGTCAAAATTTCTATGCTCATTAATCAACCCTTTGCCTTGCGACGATTTCATTGCCGTTGTGGTCGTGTTTTGCGTAAGGTCCATATAATCTCTCTTGGACATGAAAATTTGTAACAAAATGTGCAAATCTTTAAGATTCAGCTACAAACTTCACTTTGATCGAAGTGTCTTATCCAGAAAAGCTTTTTTTTTTTTCTTTATCTTCGTAATAATCAGCGTCTATCGTTTCACTATATCAGGCTCCGTCCACACCACGTCGAAGAAATATGAAAATGTAAGTTTAACTCTAAAAACGCATCAAACGATTTCCGTCCACACTACGCCGAAGGAATTTGAAAGCGTAACAATCTATGGCCATTTTCGATTTGTGTTACAGGAAAACTCCGTCAGGGAAATCACATGATGGTCGTGACGTCATCGTTTTCTGAAAGATCCGTTCTCAAAAATATTCTCTGTCCACACGAAAGCTAAAAGTCGGCGTTTTTTAATTCCTCCGGTTAGAAGAGCGTTTTCGAAAAGCTCCGCTTTGGTGACGGATTAGTGTGGACGGTAGGCCTAACCGTGTACAAATAAAGCTGCATTTTCAAATTCCTCCGGCGTTGTGTGGCGTAGCGAAAGCTCCGTTTTTTACTTTATCATCATTTTGTGCATCAGATATTAAAATACCCTTGGGATTCTATCTCTATATGGAAATCACAAAATATAATTTCATTATATTTTAAAAGGCGGCTTGTAAAACTGGAAATTACATTTCTATCTAAATAGGTAGCTTTATTGGTGTAAATTTATTAAAATAGACATTGAGAAAACTCGGTTATTATAAAGCGGAGTTAATTAAAATGTTGGCGATCGAGAGCCAATGATTGTCAAGATCAGATAATTGTATTAAAGCAATTAGGGACAAAACTGAGTTCAACTTTAAGTTAAATTCAAATTCACATCATGAATTAAAGCCAGAGAAATTAACACTTCCGATAAAGGTGATTTTTCCTTGCACCAGTATCATTCTTCTCGAAGCAGACGAGTGATTCAGTACAATACAACGAAAATTGTCAGCCACGTGTGGGTTGCAATTGGCTAAGAACTACGTGACATTGAAAGAAATTAATATGTCACAATCGGTAAAAAATATTCGAATCCGACTTTCAGCTAAGGAGAGGACAGATTTCACTGAAATTCCAGCAATTTCGGCTACATCCGTATTCTCAACATAAAATATCTGATATACAGAAATAGTGGCACTCCGCTAATAAGATTAATACCAGTGGTCAAATTAGCTTCAGTTTTCAATGCGTGTAATATGGCCTCTTGTTGTCTCATACAAGCGTCTCTCAGGACGCAATTACCTCAGTTAGACTTGAGCCAATATAACTATACTGTAGTTAAAGATTCTATAAAACGGTTAACTGAATGCGATTTACTTCTCAGTATGTGGTCTTGGACATGACTAATGCGTCTTCAAACTTAACAAATAGGCCATCGCTCAAATTTGTTTCGAAGCGCGGCATTCCCATGACATAAGCGAAAAATTTTAATTTCCTGTTTGTGGAAGGCTTCGGCATAACACCAGATTCTGTCAATTTCATTGAGCCAGTTCAAAAGGACGATAGTTAGACAAAATAAACTCTTAAAGACAAACGAAAAAAGAAGTTCCCTCGTATTTGTTTGGGAGGCAAATTCTTTTGTTGCAGTGCCGGTGAATACTGTAAACGCTCTTCCAGGTTGATGATACAAGCGCTGCCATAGTTTTATTTGATCCTCGCCGGTTTACACCTTCTCAGATTTGAAGGAGGTTGCAGACAGCGTTCAGAACTAAGAAAATTGTTGAAAGATGCGTTACTGGATTTGCGTTTAAACTGCACGTTCTAATTTCCCCAATCCTAGAACTGCTAGAATTAGTGTATAAAACAGAATGTAAAGTCCATAGCCGAAAGTAGGTACCGTTTTAAATATTTTAGTATCTAACCAGCGTAAACTAGAAACTAGCGTAAATCTCGCAGGCTGGACGCTCAGACAAAGAGAGAGCCACTGTACCAACAATTAAAGAATTCAGCTCACCCGTTTTAGCTTGTAATAAATCTTTCGCGCGTTCCCTTCAACACGGTTCACATCGATCTATGCCTCACTGGAACTGAAATATAATATTGATTTTCTCTTTTATTAGTATGAATATATGTAATATTTGATTGTTTGGCATATCTGAAGTGCCAATTTATCAGGATATTGGAAACTGAAAATAAAATTGGCAAAGGTTTGTATCGATTTTAACGCATCTCACAGACAAAGGTTCGCTCACAAAGAGAAACTGCGAAAACAAAACCGTGAGAAGTGTATATTTTCAAAAACAGAATTTCAATAGCGATGAAGGTGTAAAGCTGTTTTTCAATATAATCTAATGTATTGAAATGAAATACAAGCTTGATTAGCCACCCGTTTAAATTATTGTCCAATGTTTTGATTCAAACAAGGAAAAATTAGTAATGTCAAATTATGTTTATATTGTACAGACATGCTCGAAATTGTGTGTACATGAGAAATTGTCCTAACCAACTCAAAACAACTTAACTTACTGATGGAAGATTCGTTTCATTTGATGTAAAAACAAAAAATGAATCTTAGAATCTAAATCTTTGTAAATACCTGTGTTTCGTTGTTGCCGCGAATACAGAGCAACGGACTGAGTTGTTAATCAGTTCTGCTTTCGGTTTCGGGGCGGAATTCGCAAATGTTTCCTTGAGATGGCGGTTAACCGCTACCCTTCTTACTTCACAAACTCCCGGTCTTGTAATATCCAGTAAAATAGCAAAAAAACACAGCCGGAATATTACAGCAGTTGCCTTGGAGAGAGAAACTACAAAATCAACAACAACTGTTTTTTTCGATGGTCAAAATTTTCAAGCTGTTGCGTGCTTGGCGCTATGACAAAGGATTAACCAGAACTGCGTGAAAACAGTCAACAACTCGAATTGCGGTTTTCTGTAAAAGATTTTTCTCCAATAAAATCCCTCCCTTTGACACAAAATGCGCGTACATTTATTCTTGCTTTAATTAAGTTACTTAAATGCAGTTGGCATTCTTTTTAAACGCTTGTAAACTTCCATGAATTAAATTTCAAGACGAAAAACACTGAACACGAGCATTCGGTTTGTCTCCAGTCGACACTCGGTTTCCTTTTTGCGCAACCTCCAGGAGGGAGCGCGAGGGGTGATGGGGGAGTTCAACATAAACTAAACAAAGGTTGACATTTGTTACTTCTTTTCTACTTCTTAATAGCGAAAGAGTGAATTAACGATAAAAGTTCTTGTAACCAGAAAGAGAGAGCCTCTGTCATTTTAATCTCATTTTTCAAGCTCAAAAATAGCTCAGGTTTATTGTATCAGCTGTATATAAGATGTTAGTTGCTAAAGAAAAGTCCGTTCTTATTTCAAATTTTTATTCGTAAAGGCATCATTACTTGCATCTTGTATCTGCTCTGTTTGTGTGCTTTAACGATTTAAAAAGGCATATGTTTTTCTTGTAGGTGCAAGTTATAAAATTCAAATTAATTTCGATGTGGAAAAGAAAAATTTTCATTCTTAATAACCTCACGTACTTTTCCTTGGGTTAAGTAATTACCAGCTTGTTTTCTTAAGAGAAATATTTCCACTGCATTGGGAGCTAATTGGAAAAACAAAAATCTATGCGTCATTCTTAATAATAACCTCACGTATTATTTCTTGCGTAGAGCTTATTTGTGTTGGTGAGCGTTATATAAATATTTAGGTATTTTCCATGATGTAAATTAAATTGTACAAGCGCTGAATGTTTTCTTTCTTCTCCAACTGCGAAAAGCTGCTTTCAAAACAAGACACTTGGGTTTTTTTTTTCAGCGTTGTGTATAATTCTAGGGGAGGTAAATAGTAAATGCAACACTTTGCGAGAAGACGAGACTAGCGCTTTCGATCTTTTCGAGCCGGGGACATTTGTGACTTTTTAAATTGCGAGACCGAAACTTCAATGACAGTTAAGAAAAAAAATATAAAACAAAACTGCGAGACTCGTGAAATTCAACGAAAATTTTGCGAGATCTATGGTTTTTGAAGACCATTCGCCACCCATAATTCTGTACGTGACACACAAACACAACTTTATCCAATGATTATATTATACCAAACTGGAGGATGCCGTCATGTTATAATTTTATTTTTTCCATTTTGTCCTTATACTTTCAACGTTGGAAGCAAATTTGTGCATGCTTAGACAAAACTGTTTATTTATGATTCGGAAGAAATAACAAATTGTGGCCCAATAACACGAGAAATGAAACTACTGAAAGAAATGGGAAATTATCTCAAAAAGATCATCACAACTTTATAACTGAATTAACAATGGCTTGTCAATTTATTCGAAATACGTTCAAGTTTTGAATCAAAAATTTCCCGTTGAGGCCTTCTGAGCGGGAATCCGTTACCATGGAGAATTCTTTGTTACTTAAGATTGTGTACTATAAAAGTTTTTACACGATTTGAATAAGTGAATAGGGAATATATTTGGGAATTTGTAAAAAAAAAAAAATAATTTGAATAAATTCCTTGTTTGGTCAAAATAAAAGTAAAACACTTCTTACTTATTTTATTTTATCTTATGCTTGTTTTAATTCTTCGACTAATCTTTTCCATACATGATGTTGTCTGATCCACGCCCAAAAATTCAATACAGTTCCTAATTACTGACAAATAGCGAGTTTATTCTAGAAAGTTTGGCTCCGACTTCAAGTGATCTCAACCTTGCGGTTTTTAAAATTACAATATAGCAATTTTCGTAACCACGCTAGCTAATTTTTTTTTATGTAATGTGACCGCGAGCTCTGCCTATCATCGATTCGAAACAAATCTACTGTTTCACTTTGTCTACTTACTAAACAGTCAATCATTTACATGTGAGCGATAGCACAAGAACTAACCTTTACTGATGTTCTGTCCGCCAAACCTGTCAGCAAAATGAAGTAATGATCTCCGTAAATGTTGCGATAACTTTAACAACCTACGTAAAACACGAACGGAAATTCCCTTGGTGTGAGTTCAAATCTTGGACTCAATCTATTTCCCAAATTCTTTACTTGGCCCCGAACAAAGAACAACGTTCTATATTGGGTTTACACGCGTACAGCAGACAGTATCAACTCGACGCTTCTTTCAAATCTTGTTTACGTTTTAGAAATGATGAGTACGTTGTGGTTTCGTCAATGAGTGCCTTTGTTGTACAACTCTTTCAGCGACTTAGCATCTCATTTGTTCTTTGTACCGACGCTGTAAACACATCAAGATGGATCACTTGCGCCGATGGGCGAAGAAAGCCCTTTTGTTGCTGAAAAGGACTATTTCAGTACTGGACCTCAAGAGGAAGCCTTTTGTTGCAATACTGCGGCACGAAATTAGTTTTTGACGGCGAAAAATGACCATAAATTGTAGATGAGTTCTAATTCGTTCACGTCTTGGCTTCGCTGGTAGCTCAGTGAGCCATGTGGTTCAGTGTCTTGTCAGACAACAGATTTTAGCATTACCTTTGTCTTGTGGGCGCCAATAGCGTACAGATGAGTCAGTTTTTCAACTGGCAGGTGGGGCTCGCTGATGAATTAATCATTTGTGACATTATCTTGATCTCGAGCGACATGTAAACAATAATATCCTTTCAAGCATGCCCATTCAAAAACGTACCCGAATAATTTTCACGCACCGCAAGACGTTAGCGAAGGCAAGCAATAAAGACAGCTTTCATCAGACCAAGAATTCGTATGGTAATTTCACTTTTATTCAAAAAAAAGGCAAAATGAATGACCTGTTCTTACACATCCTGCTGTTAGCTAGCGGGGTGCTGTGCGAGTATGAAAGAAAAAAGAAGAATAGTGGACGTTTTTAACAAAACAAAACGATTGAAGGAGAACTTTGCAAATAAAAAATGATCAAGAATAAATGTTATGCTTATGTAGCTAGCTAAATTCGCACTCTTTATAAATATTATATTTTAAAATAAAACAACCACGGATGGTCAACGCCAAACAAAAGAACATATTTCCTCTTCCGTGGGATTAAAATGTCCGTCAAATTTAGCCTTACCGACGTTTGAACTAAGATAAATAAAAGACAATAAAATGTGCGCACGAAAGCTCACAGCGGAAATTAATAAACGTCCTGCGCGTTTCGATGCCTACTTATTGAATGAATCAATACGAGGGGCCAATTAATTTTTACCCACTTGCCGTTGCTTATGATATTCTTAAGGTCTACTCCTTTATCCTTATTTTACCCTCCAAAAATGTTTATCCTTTGCATGTTAGCTCACACAGAACAACGACTTAAAGTAATTATTATTCTATAAAACTTTTTCTTAATCCATTCGGAAGACCGTTGTTCCGCTTACCACGGTAATTAAACAGACTTTTAATAAATTTCTTTGTTGCGTTTTTGCAGATTTTCGTTGGAAGACGATGTTCACTTTTGCCCACTGGACGTCACTGAGTGGTTTGACAAGCTAAAATTCTACTCTAAAACAACCTGTATGGCTCCCTCCTCTGTACATCCTCCTTCTCCAATATAGGCGCAAATCGTTTATCTATGTCCAATTTCCTCGTTTGACTTCCGTATCTACTAGTTACGTCATTTTATCAAGACGTTCTTTTTTTTCTTTTTTCTGCGCGTATAATCCTTTTCTATTTATTTTATCACTAGAAATCTGAATGTCTACCACAGAAAAACGTTATCAATCAGGTGCGATTTTTAAGTTCGATGTGCAGCTTTTTTGGGATGTGAAATTGTCGATAGTGACATAGGATTCACTGTTTATCGTACCCATATTCGCAATTAGTAGAATTCTTCTAGTATACTAATGCAAATGCTGCAACCTGATTGGCTGAGCTACTCGTATATTAATTAAAAATTAGATTATTCGCTAACGATTTCTATTTAAACAATAGAGTGTTTCTGTCGAGGAACTATCGGCTGATAGTTGCCCCGCGGAAATTTTTTTTCTCAAAAATCGGCTCGCCTAAATGGTCAAGTACCTGTACCAAGATCGCATTTGGGAGCCAAGTTATAGGATCATGATTTTATTATTAATTTAAGTTTGAAAAAAGTTTCTTGATAACTTGACTTATTAACTACGCGAGCCGTTTTCTTTTTATAAAAGAGCCGAAACTCTGTAAAACTTGGCATATTTTGACCCCAATACTGAAACCAAAGTATGGACATGAAAAAAATTTGCCGATATTAGCTTGTTTGCCCCCTAAGAAATCACGTGCCTAATTTGCTTTATAATGTAAAACTAACATGGCGGTTATTGTGAATAAGGCCTATTGAAAGCACCATCTCCTGATTAAAAGAAAAAAAACCCTATAGGAAATTAACGCTTTAGAAAATTAACGGGAATCTTAAAATTTCGCTTTTATTCAATTCGNAACTGTTACAAAGAAGAGTTCAATGTTGTGAGTACTGATGGTTCATATTCTAACAATAGGCGATCTGCATGATGGCGTCATTTGACTACTGTACAACCACCAGAATCCTTCACTTTTTCTGTTTCTTTGGTTAATTGAGGAAATTGTTATTTAATATAAAATGAAAAGAACCAGCAAGGTTATTAGTGGAAGTGTTGTGCTGCGTTGGCGTCAACATTACGTTGAATATTACAACCAATTGTTCCATATCAAATGAAGTCTAATAATTGTGCACATGATTAATAGCCCATATTTACGATAGCCGCCGTGATGGTTTTCTTATTACAATGCAAATTAGCCACGTTGGGCAAACGTTTAAATGGTTCCCATTTCTTTGAAAATCGGCTCGTCTAAATGGTCAAGTATCTGCACAAAAATCACATGGTGGAGCCAAGTTATGGAATAATGATTTTATTATTAATTTAAGTTGAGAAAAAAGTTTCTTGATAACTTGACTTATTTACTAAGCGAGCCGTTTTCTTTTTATAAAAGAGCCGAAACTCTGTAAAACTTGGAATATTTTCACCACAATACTGAAACCAAAGCATGGACATGAAAAAAATATCGGACATGATAAGAAACCAGTTAAAATTTGCCGATATTAGCTTGTTTGCCCCCTAAGAAATGACGTGTATAATTTGGATTATAATGTAAAAACATGGCGGTTATCGTGAATAAGGCCTATTTAAAGCACCATCTCCTGATTAAAAGAAGAAAAAAAACCCTACAGGAAATTAACGCTTTAGAAAATTAACGGGAATCTTAAAAGTTCGCTTTTATTCAATTCGCTTTAAGTTGTGTTAATTTCAAATACCTTAATTAACACGAACACTAATTTTCCATATTTAGATATGTTGCCATAATAAGCTGTAGGACTATAGTCAAGACATCAATATCCCAATAAATTATTAAATAATTTAACTCGTAATGGTTAGCCACTAACGCACTTGCTACGTACGTTATATTTAAGTGAACCGTTTGCTAAACATTTCAACTAAAAATCATATAAACAGCAAAACGAGAAAAAAGACTCATCAAAATATGAACTGAAGATTCAAACCCCAACATCAAAAAACAAACTCTACTTACCTTAACCATGGCACTGGTTGGAGGAATTTGTTCTCTCTAGTTTATTTTCATCAAAAAAATAATGACTGAATGGACAATTTCTCGAAAAAGGACGCCAGAAGGGATTTTGAATTTCTCTCTTGTCTCTTTTCTGGTTTGTTGCCTTAAGCATGGTATTTGAACCGTTATTATTTCCAGTTTATTTTCATAATAAGTTATGACTGTGTTTAATATATTTCTCGGAAAAAAAACAAACAAACAAAGGCTCTAGCAGGAATTTTAGCTTTTTCAAAAAAAACAGAGAAAACATTCGTTACCCATTTTCCGAAAGACAACTTTCTGTTTACTGTCAGTAACAGAGAAGAATGCTGGCGCTGCAGTTTAACGGAGAATGAAGCCAGCCCATTTATAAGAGCTTATCTGATTGGCTACAAACACAAAACGGAAATATAAAGCCATGGGTTCCAAACAAGCCAAATATTGACTTCAAAGCTTTCAGTTTTTTTGTGAGGAAAGAGAAAAGCCGTGAGCGTCGCACTGGGATTTACTATAACTAATTTAGCCTTCGGTACCCGTCACTATGCTTTATGTTTTGATCTTCGCCGTTCTATTGGTTTCGTCTGTTCTCGTGCAAGAGGCAACCTGTGCTAAAGGTGAGCTCAGTCTTGTTATTTTCTGACTCATTTTCCAATGGATAAAATGCATGCTTATTATTATTTCCTTATTATTATTATTTTTTTTTTTTTTTTTCTCGCAAGAGTCTAACTTTGATCGAAGAAGTTCACTATCAAGGCTGTTTAGGAACGTATTTTTGTTGGTTCGCTTGATTTATAGCTCAATGATATTTCATCTAAGAAATTTTCTTCTCCGATCCTAAAAGCCATGCAAAAAAAAAAAAAGAAAAAAAAAAAAGAAAAAAGATAACTTCACTGTGATCGTAGGGGAGATGGACAATTTATCGTTATCGCACTGCGAGAAAAATTAATACTCCTACGTTCGTAATTTTCTCTTTTATATAGTAAAAATTCTCGGTCATATAATAAAAGAGTAATTGAGTGAACGCTGACGCAATTAGGGATTTACACTCCTCGTGGTATTTGAAAATCCTTTTAAGTTGTCCCCTGATAAAGGTTCGTGCAATTCCGAGAGAATTCTAAAATTCACCTGCAATTTAAAATGTTAATTGCACTCGCATTCAAAAAATTACTTATACTCAATGGCAAAATGAACCAAATTAACGTGTATGTGGTTAATTTCAGCAAATTATATTTGTATAGGCGAATCTTTGCTGATGTCGCTGTTTTCATTTTTTCTTCGTCAACATAGGACTCTTCGCAGAGAAGGGAATAGGAGAATCTTTGTTTACAAAATTTGCTCAGTAGCTGTAGCATAAGCGATGCTGTTTCTCATGGAGATACAAAAACATACGTTCGGAATAATGAAAGAGCACAGCACGATTAACCGTCAGAAAGAATTTGAGCCCCGATGAATCGAATTCTTTTTGTGCGACATGGAGTTAAAACTTAAAATTTTACAAAGAATGTATTAGCTCATTAACGCTTTTGTCAACAAGTACTTTTGCCATTTTTGAAAGCCAATTTCTCCTCAAATATCACACCCAAAGAGCCAAAACGTTTACCAATTACTAACTTTCACAAGCGCTCTTTACGGCGCCTTTCAATAACATGCGGACTCTAAATTCAAAGCTCAACCGACAAATGGCTTTTTTTTGTTACCCTCAATCAAATGTTCTGCGGCTCCTCCCAGCTTCCGACTATGTTGTCTGAACTGTTTTCAACGATTTGATTTGATTACCGCGCGCTCGGCAATAATCGAAAGCTGGGAGGAGCCACCGAACATTTGATCGACCGTAGCGAAAAACGCGCTTGCGGTTGAGTTTTGAATTTTATAGTCCGCATGTTATTGAAAGGCGCAGTAAACGTTTTTAGTCATTTCGTGTCTAGCGTGATGCATCGCGTTAACAGTCTTAACGTTGCTTCAGTGACGACAAAGGATGAGACATCTTGCTCCAACACTAAATCCCGGTTTAGCGTGAAGCCAAAATCATAAAAATCATTCGTGATATTTAGGCTGTTTACGCCTTTAACCTTTTGTTAATACAAATTCCTGCTGGTGGCATTAAGTGGAATATGCTTTAATTTTTTACTTTCAGGATTGCACAAGTGTTTTTGTTTCTTTGTTTTAGGGATGAAGAGCATCAAATTGCTCTTAATAGCCAAGATCGAAAGAAACTTATTTGTCGTTGGANAATTCTAAAATTCACCTGCAATTTAAAATGTTAATTGCACTCGCATTCAAAAAATT